CTCGAGGGGTTAAAGGCGGAACATTTTAAATCGGCTTAACGGGTCAATGAAGTCGGAAAGCACGATCCAGGAAAACGAGGTCAAGGGATGAATCGGAAGAAAGAAGGGCTCGCGGGCGAGTCGAGGGCGTATTTGTTCGAGGTATTTAATTCTGGAATAAATCTCCGTTTTCTTGACTGCTTTCTCTCTCTCTCTCTCTTTTTTTGTTTTAAGAGAGAGAGAAAGAGAGAACTCCGAGATCCGGAAAGAAATGACTAACTGCGCCGGATGCCATAATTCCTCTCGAGATGGCGAAAGTTGGCATATCCTGAAATTTCGCTGATCGTTTCTCGTAAACGAAAGTTATTGTGTCACAATCGTAAAAATGAAATGGGATTGGGCAACAGCTGTAAATTTTTTGTCGATCTTATCAATGTACATAGTTCAACAGTATATATCTTTTATTGTCGGCGTTTCGGCAGGTATATTATCTTTTATCACGGCGTTTTATTAAATGTTATCAAATTCGCGCATGATTTTGTGTTCTCTATCATAGCACATTACGTTGTTAATCAAATATCAATCGTAATTAAAAAAATGTAATACATGTAATTGATATACTCACGTCTTGATAAGAAATAATAATAATAATAGTTATACCTCGAAATAAGATCAGAGAATAATTATTTATTTAAGATATGATTATACGCGTATTAAAAACTTTTTTCGTCGATTCAAATCGATTTCGTTAAATAAAAAGCAATTTACATGAACATAAGTGAAAGAATGTGTGTATTTTTATTTTCCTCGACAATTCATTATAACGGAATAAAATCCACAATTCGATCGATACATGCGGTACGGTTTATAGGTCGAATTTTGAACCGATTAAGACAAGAGTTTGCGAATTTCGGTTACGATTTTGTTAGTCTTACTGACGGAGGTTGAGCGAGGTAGGTAGGTAAGAACGCGTTTGCGGCATCGTGGTCGTCGTTTAAGCCGTGGCTTAACTCTGCTTAAGGTATTACTCTTCATCTCTCTCCTTCTCTCTCTCTCTCTCTCTTTCTCTCTCTCTCTCTCTCTCTCTTTCTTTCTCTCCTGCTCAGACTTCGCTCTGCTCTTCATACTTCCGCCTCGTTCCGTTGCCTGGTCGCGCGGTCGCGCATCGAGCGCCGGCGAATTATCTTGGCGTCGAATCTACGGTCAGCCTGCAAACCACCAGTAAACTCCGGACCTTTGTGCGTTATTCTGGTCCGCGCGATTCAGGTGCTCCGTTTTACAAACTTGCAATCTGAGCGAGCGTGTTCTTCTCTTTAACGTAAAATTAATCGATGTAATGGTGATAGACACGTAAAATGAGAATTTGATATTTAAAGCCAATAAAAAGTTAGCCATCGTTATACACAGTAGAATTGTAAAAAATATTGATAACTTGTTTCGATATATTATATCTCTCTCTCTCTTTCTCTCTCTCTCTCTCTGTCTCTCTCCCTCTCTCTTTCTCTCTCTCTCCTGCTCAGACTCCGCTCTGCTCTTCATACTTCCGCCTCGTTCCGTTGCCTGGTCGCGCGGCTTTTAATCGAGCGCCGGCGAATTATCTTGGCGTCGAATCTACGGTCAGCCTGCAAACCACCAGTAAACTCCGGACCTTTGTGCGTTATTCTGGTCCGCGCGATTCAGGTGCTCCGTTTTACAAACTTGCAATCTGAGCGAGCGTGTTCTTCTCTTTAACGTAAAATTAATCGATGTAATGGTGATAGACACGTAAAATGAGAATTTGATATTTAAAGCCAATAAAAAGTTAGCCATCGTTATACACAATAGAATTGTAAAAAATATTGATAACTTGTTTCGATATATTATATCTATCTCATTCTTTTAATTCCAATTTCATCTTCTATGCGTGATAAATAGATTTGAATAAATAGATAATGTTCTGAGATAACAATATTAATATTATTATTAATTAACACATAGATAATTTATTCTGTTTTGAAACAGTAGCATTAATATATTACAGTTATTAATTAGGATACGCCTCTTACATTCAACTACTGTACATTATTTAATTTAATCAATAGATACACATTTGATGTGCCCTCTCTCAGATCGGTTAATATATGCTCGTGATCGAAAAGTAGGGCAATCACAAATGATATTCCTGTAGGAACGTTTCGAAGTGCGGGATCGCGGATATCGCCGATGATCGATTACTTCCCGCGGTATTTACGGAGATTGCTTACCACGTGCACCACATAATTTCGCCGCTCTCGTCGCAGAGAAGGAGAAAGAGAGAGAAAGAAGGAGAGAGAGCGAGGGCGCCATTTGTCGCGGATCTTATCGGCAGAAGAGAGGGGTGGCCTTTTCGTTTTAAAGCGACTCGAGCGTAAATGCGCCCTCGGCCGAAACCCCCAAAACGCGCGTCGGAGCCACTGCTTTAGCCTGGATATTTATTACCCTATGGTGTAGCCTTATCGAGTGGCCCGGCCATGCTTGAAATCGTGAGAATTCCAGCTAAACCGTCCCTCCGCCGCCCACATACACCTCCCCCGCTCCCCACCTGCTTCTTCCCCTCGCGCGTACAACATCAGCGGGATCGTGTACGTACGAGCGTGTGCTCTCGGTAACGGGACAGAATGTAATGGAGAACGGGACGGGAATGGAATGAGATGGAAGCGACGGGACGGATCGCAGGAGGAGGGCGCGAGGGGGTCTTTGACTGGCGCACGAAGGGGACCAAACCGGCAGCCCTTCAGGTTGCTTGGCAAGGGTGCGCGATATTGATTCCCACCTAGCCATTTCCATCGAGCGTGGTGGAGGTTCGATGTTATGCTCGCGAATCTAGTCAATGGGCATGATTGCGGTGCTCCAAAGAGAGTCCCGCAACTTTCCGCCCGTGATGATAATGCTCTGACGATGTTTAATCCTTAGATGCATAAGAAATCTTTGAGATTCTACGATATTTGCTCTTTTCCTCAAAATATTCTTTAATATCCTTGATTAAATCTTTTCTTCTTTCTGGATAATTTTTAGAGAAATGTTAAGGCTATTTTTTTTTACACAATGTATAGCCTTATATATTATGATTTAAAAAATTATTAAAATTATTTTTCTTCTATTGATAAATTTTTGTAAATCTATGTTTGGAAGTTTTGCATGGACCAAACGGTTAATTTAACTTGTTTTCAATATTTTTATTGAATATTTTTAAAGATAATCTGCAAGTTTGCATTGTTGTGATTCCAGAAAAGACTAACGATTTATAAATTATAATATGAAATTTATATATAATATACAAAACAACGAATTATAAACGCTAAAAACGAGGTCGTAAACTTTAAGGAAACCAGAAACGCCAGGCATTTGCTGCAACATTGCAACATGTAAATATATAAAAAAGTGAAAAAAAAACGGATTAGCAAAGTTCATCGCAATATAAGAGAGTTATGATGCATCTTTTTTCACTTTAAGGGTTTTCACGAGAGAGTTTGATAAAAGCCTGAGTAATTCTTTTACAGTCTTTTATAATTTTTTATCAGCCGTTTATGATAACGATTGTTAATCCCGGAAACAGATAAAAATGAAGCGAGATTACAATTGTTCGCTATTTCGAATGTTACGCGATACGTGTAATCCGATCCTGTATCGATATTCGCAATTATATTTGCGCTTTGCTGTCTCGCTTTTTTACTGATTATTGCGAGTGTATGCGATAGTCGGGACTTTCCCTGTTGGTGATGTTCCGATGGTGTTGGTGCGTGTCTTCAACACGGCGGTGCATGCCACTAGCATGTACATACGGCTTCCCGTGTTATATATGTTTACAGTTTTCCGATATCTAACTTCTGCGCCCCTTTTTCCACGTCTCAATGAGCCACGGTGCGAAATCGCTAGCACACATCGAAAACTCTCGAACCGAACCATCCATCTCTCTCTCTCCCTCCCTCCCTCCCTCTCTCTCTCTCTCTCTTTCTCGGTCGGTTCGATCGATAGCGATCTATATTACAGGCGACTGGCTGCCTCGAGTAGAGTATGACGGGGGTCTTCGACGCTTCGCCGATCGCTGAAGAGGCTATTTGCCTCGCGGCGATGGTGGTGGTAATAACGGCGTGCAGCCCTATTATGATAACCGAAACTCCCATCGGAACTACTACTAAACGCGATACACCTCACCTTCGCCCCGAAAGTCGCCCCTCAAACAAAAAGCGGTTATCGGTAAAAGTCGGGAACGTCGAGTCGTTCATTCGCGCGATAATGGAGAGATCTTCGCGCGATATCTCTTACATCTATATTACACATTATCCATATATTACGTCGACATATTACATCGTCAAACGGTTCGAATTTTTAACGAACGCGGAAATAGTTGTTGATTTTCTCATCTCTATCGATACTCGAAGAATCTAGTCGAAGGATATTTTAGTCGTCGTCGAATATAATTCAGTCTCTTTTGCTATCTTTGTCCCTCCCTGGGCAGATTACGGCAAGAAATGATCTTATCTTTCACAATGCCACGCGATTAATAATGCGAGATCGCAGTTGCCCGGTTGAGATCGAAGACGAAGGAAATAGGGGGGAGTGTACGTCTGCTCTCTTCTCGTAACAGACAAATACAAGACAATGAAGATTAATGCTTCAGCCTCGTTCTCCTTCGCTGCCGGTCTGTTCTCCGGGTCGACGGCATCGTGTGAACGATTCGGTAATCCCCAGAGAAAAGTGCCCCTTCGGATTCGACTTTGGAGGTTCCCGATCGTATAACCCTGACCCTAAATCTGCCATGATCGACGAATCTTTTCAATAATTTAACATGAATGATGATTTTGTTTTTTATTATAAATTCTGACATGACTTCGCGAAAAATACTTAAAAATGATCATTATTCTTGTAGGAAATATTTTTAGAATATATTTCTAGAATTAATTATATTGAATAGATGGATTATAACGACTTATATAAGCATATATTACATACGCACGCTAATTCGACCGATCTTTTAATTCGTATTTACCTTGTTATTGTAGATTAGCAGTTGGCGTGACATGGATGTGAGCTTCACGAACGTGTTAGAGGGGGCTCGCCAGTACTTCCAGGGACTGCCCGTACCGAGTACAGGTGGTGGCGCGGCCACGTCAGTGGATCTTCACGCAACATCCTCCACGAATTCCGCCTCGTCCACATCGACGACAACGCACGATCACGATGCGTCTCAGCCGACCCAGTCAAACTCGACTTCCGTCAACAGCAGCAACGGTAGCAGTGTCCAGGAATCGAATCGTTATCCCATTGACGTCAGACCGTCATTGTCGGTGGAGAGCAGCAATGCTGCTTCCGGTTCTAGTTTCTGGAATCCGCACGTGGAACCTTATCCACCGCAGCCGACCAAGGTTGAAGTCTCGGACACGAGACCAGGCGATGAAAGCTCCGCCATGGAACCCAGTTCCTCCTCCTCGGGCACCGTTACTTTAACCGAAATGCAACCTTCTAATCACCAGTCCTCTTCCTCTTCATCCGCCGTCGTCTCTATCGTCGGATCGTCAACGAATTTCTCGCAGAGATCACCACCAGCATCGTCATCGTCTTCGTCGTCCACCCCGTCCTCCAGCGATCACAATCATCACCACCAGTTACATACTTCGACCTCAAACGTGTCGTCACATTTGCATCAGATGCAACCACCTCAGCCACCACATTCCCCGGGACCGGTGTATCAGCAACTCAACAGCGTAAGCAGGTCATCTTTCAACACGGCGGAGATGCTTGCCTCTTCTTCGTCACACTCCGTTTCGACTTATCAGACCGCGAGCAATAACGATCGGCCATCGCAGCCAATCGTCGTGCAGAGGGCTCAATATTATCCGCGTTATCATCACCCGGATATCACGAAATGCGCACCGGCTCCATACTCGCAGAGTTCCATTTATCAGTCCGCTAATGTAGCGCAGCCTTCAAGCACGGTTCAACAACCGAGCACGAGGCCGACACCGATGGAGCAGAACAACGCGTCGCCGTCCGGAATCGTCGCTCAAGGACACTGTCCGCCGGAACAGCAACGAGTACCCGGTACTTACGGCAGCAATGTACCGTCCGTTCAGAATCCTCTCGGCGGATCTACTGTATACGGATCTGGCTCCTCTTCCTCCTCCTCTTCCTCTCAGAATTATCGTTCCGCGAGTCAATATCAACAACAGGCCCATCGTCTGGCGACCGCTTCCGCTTCGAGTCTCAATGACAGATCGCATAGCTTGGATGGACCGCACTCTTCCACCGTTCCTTTCTCCTCGTCGTCGACGGTCAGCCCGCGTCAGCCCGCTGCAATCAATTCCTCCTCTAGTTACATTCCTTCACAGTCGCAGTCGCAAAATCTTTCGGGGCACATTCCGTCGCCGTCCGCTGCCTCCTCGGTGCACCATCAACAACAACAGCAGCAGCAATCGTCGCCTCTGCAGCAGCAACATCCTAGTCGTATAAACGTGTCGCCACATTCGCACGGTTCCTCATACGGAAGTCGCGTGCTACCGCTACCCACGCACGGTGTTTCAACATCGACCTCTTCCGCCGCAGCAGCAAACCACTCGCAGCAGCATATGCCACCACCATCGAGCGGCTACCATGCGGGAACAACGCCGTCGCCGCATCACGAGATGCCGTCGCATCACGCAACTCCGTCGCCGCATCACGCAACTCCGTCGCCGCAGCGGCAATCGCCTCACGTATCCAATCTACACAACCCGCATGCATCTCCATCTCCTCATCATACACCTTCTCCACACAACAGCTTTCAGCCACACTCGCCGACCTACCCGCCGCCGCCACCGCCGGTTTCGTCGAGGTCGACGCCACACTCGTACAACTTGCCATCGGCCACCTCTCAACATTATCAGACGAATTACGTAACGGCAGCTCGTGACACGGCGATGGCGTTGCCTTACGCACCGCCGCCATCGTCCCAATCTTCGTACCATTCCTTCCAGAAGAGCTCACAATCGGAGTCTCAAGGGAGTAATTATTATTCTCAATCCGGCCGATCTCACAGTCAATCGTACGGTATGCAGCAGATGCTGGTGCCGCCGCAGACAGTATTTTCCGGCACACCTAGTACCAACAATATGAGTAGCTATCAGCAGAGCAGCAGCAAGCATGCCACATACAATGGTGCGGAAATGACAAAGAGGAGTGCGATAGACGTTGCAACGCCCTATGCTACGCATCGTTCATCTGCGCAAAGGAACAGCAACACGCACAATCTGCCACCCATTGCCGCTCTTTCATCCTATCATTCCAACAGGCGAGAATTTTTGGAAAAATCAGCGCAATCAATGGTGCAACGACAACGAATACATTCGACGAACGTTAACAGCAAAGTGGCGCCTGCCGCAATACCACCAACGACACCCTCGTCGATGGCAATGCCCGCGCAGAGACTCACTGAATATCCGATGACTCCGGCCTCGGTAATGAATCACGCTTTACCAGTGAATGGCAGAACAACCACCGTGACGAATATGACTCGATACAGCAACCAACAAGGCTATCTCTCGTCGTCGTACGCCACTACGCTTGCGCCTAGTCATCATGGCAGCAACTCCACCAGCAGCACCACAGTGACTTCTATTAGTCACGATGGTATTGGCAGCGCGAGGTCTTCCGTTTCAACAATCCACGCGTATCAGTCTTCCGACGAGTCGGATCAAGCGACTGGATCGTCGTCTCATCATCATCATCAACATCATCAACATCATCATCATCATCAGCCGCCAACGCGAATAACAACCGAAAATTATGGTTACAAAGAATATCCTCCTTATCAAAACCCGGCGTCGTCTAGCGGTCAAACTGTCCCGGCCGCTGCTATGGCGAGTTCTCCATCACCGAGCAACGCAGTCCGGAAGAGAGAGTCCCCTTTGGATCTATCTGTAAAGACAGTTAAGACATCGGCCGATTCCACGGCGCAGGACGATCTCGAAGCCACTAGCACCGACAAACATGTCAGTAGCTCGAGTTTAAGTACCACCAGGAGCAACATGAATAGACCGATGCCACCTCCTCCACCTGTTGTGCATCAGTCGACACCAGCTCAGCCGTCATATCCTTCGTCGTACGACTCTAGACCTTCGAGTAATAGTTCGAGGAATCCCATGCCCGTGACCTGTATTCGCGCATCGACACCACAGACAGTGTGTGCACCTAAGGTTGATTTCCTGCCAGACTTCAACTCGGCGCCACTACGCCATCAATCGCACCACGAGAATCCTCTTCGTAGGAGTACCACGCAGTTATACGTTCCGCCCGCTCAGCCTCTCTCGTCCCATCATGCGAACAATACGGCATCACTGCCTCATATGTCCACGTTCAAGAAACGTCCACTGCCCACGTCACTATATGACGGTCTGACGATACCGCCGCCTTCATCATCGTCGTCCGCTTCGTCTGCATCGTATCTCCAAACGAATGATTCCATGTCCTCGAGATTCTCCAAATATTCCCCGATGATGGACCCGTCGTCACGGGTCGGTCCGCCTACACTGCCTACGCAGGATTACACACCCAACCCCAACAAGTATTATTTAGGCGATAACAAGGCCAAATTCGATCAACAATTCTCTCAGCGTGAGCGCATGCCATTCAAAAGGGCCGGAGAAGCAATTTATGGCATAGGAAGTCCCAGCAAGCAGCCTAGGGTCTCTTGGCGAGTACCGAGTACCGACAAACAGATCGCTGAACCGAAGCTGTCGACTGCAAATGCGTTGAACGAACAGCGGAAACGGCAGGAAATGAATTTGCCAGTTCCTTTACCGAACGGAACTCTAGTGACACCCGGCGTTTACGATCAGAGACCCGACAGCGGCGGCTATCCCGCGCCGGAATCGTCTAGATATCAGCCGGCTTACTGTGATAAAAAGACCTATCCGGAGTCCAAAATTGTGCGGAGCTCACCCTCGTCGTACAATCACCAGGTAATTTCGAAACCTAACGCGAACGTGCACGTCTTACCGCAGCAGTTAAGCGGCGCTCAACCGATCTACTCGAGTTACCGTCAGGCAGCTCAGAAGACGACATGTTCTCTGAGCGTGACGTCCGGCCAGCCGATAGATCAACCTAGCAATACTGGCGCTGACAAAAGAGTGTTAAGTTTGCTGAGGAACAGTCTGGAGAACAAACAGCAGAGGGATGAACAGCTCAACAGCCAGCAGCCTATTTTGGTTAACCACAGTCAGCAAAGCTTCCAGAATAAGGTAATTTTGAGGTTTTATCTATGATAATCCGGAAAAAAAATCTAAATTTATATATCTCACGGATTTTAGATTTAAATCTTCACATTTTTGCTATTGCTTTTTATTATCGCTGATAATTTATCGCTATTCATTAATCAATCACTTCTTTTCATGCGTTAAAATCGAGATTTTTTATAGATTTAAAATGAGTTGTAATCAAATAAGACAAATGACACGGTTTAGTTCCTTTCTCTTTAGACATCTTTATTTAATCTCTCTAGACACAGTTGATTATTATCCGTTTAACATTTCTGACGACAATCTCCGACGAAATTCCCTTAGGTTGTCGCACCAGTCGAACCTAAAACGAACATCGGCAGACACAATCTGTCACCATTCACGGCGGCGAGTCTGCTGGAGCGCAACAGTAATACACCGCCGCATTACAAACTCCACGTTCCGCGAGCAGTAGACTCGATTACTCAGGAGGCACCGCGCAGCATGTACGCCTCGAGGGTGAATGCATCCGCCACGTTACCTGGCAAAGAGGCTTCTCTCGTGGGACCTCGCGGCGCCGAGAATCAGATTCATCGTGACAAGGATGACGGCCTCGCCGCCATCTTAGCCGCGAAAATTAGGACGAAGGCCGAACTCAAACAAGTATTGCTTATCGAAATTATTGTATATTATTGTGTGTATATTATTGTTTATCAATAACTTTACGCGATCTTTCTGTTTTTATTTAGGTTGGGACCGGGCAGTTTACAACGAAAGCACCTCAAGATATGTCGTCTACACCGAAAGGTAGATAACTTATTTAAAACGCTAGTTGATAGATATTAGTAGATATTGGTAATTTTATGTCGATTTTACTTTTTTTATTCGAGTATAATTCACACACATGTGTATTATATATATATATATATATGCATGTATATCGGCGATGATTGCGTTTTTTTATTCGATCGTATCGATTACGCTTTAATGCAGACTATTATCATCTTTAACGTGCGTATAATTGTATTTATATTGCATACACAGAAATCGATAATGCGGCCTCGACGTCGACACCACCGCAATCCGGTTCGTCTGCGGGCAGCCCGCCGAAATTAACGCGCGAGAAAACGGTCTGCTTGCCGCCCAGAAGACGCTTGTTCTCGAGAACCGATGACGACAACATGCCCGTAGCTGCTACCGTGCCCGCCGTCGTCACAATCGCATCCACGGTACCGACTAGAGCGAGCGGATGCAGAAGTTCGTCCGAAACGTCGGTCTTCGACTTCCGCGAGAGCGATTCCGAAGGCGAGATGCCGGTTCTCGAGCGGCAAACTTTAGAGGAGATGAGGAGGGACAGGAAACAGTTATCCAAAGTGCAACCCCCGATTCCCCTCAATGATGCGGTGTGTATGAATATGGCGTCCTCGACAGATCTCGTGAAGATAGAACTGAAGGTAATGTGCCCCAGTACAGTAATAGATACAAAGTTGAGACGAAGAAAGATAAAAAATAAATTATTTACGTAGTTAATATAAGAGGAAGAAGAGCAGTTTTTTAATGTGCTATAAAAAAATTCTTCTGTAACTAAATTTTGCGTTTACACTTTTTTTATTAACACGTAAATGTTAATTTTCGAATTATGAATTTAAGAATTGTTTGAGGGTAATATCTGTTTTTTATGTCCGTTATATATATATATATATCCGATCTTGAAATGGTCGTTCGCAAGAAACAAAAACGTTGTTTATATTTAATGTCTTATATTTTAAAAATAGATCTCTCTCTCTTTCTCATACATATATATATATATGCATATATTAGACTGAAAACATATAAAAAGTAATACTACAAGATGTATGCATACAATTTTTGTTGTTGTAACTCTTTATATTAAATTTATGTTTACAATGTATAATACATATATATATTGTGAAATATATCTTTAAATTCTCTGCCTCTTTACAATATGGTACATTATTATATCTTTTTTGTTCGCGTTGCGATTTTATTTTATAGATGTGATCGTTGTTTACAGGAAAACGACAAAATCAATGACATGGATCCATTTTGGAGTACCGCTTGTGATAAGTTTATAGAACAATTACGCGCTGGTGACGTCGCGAAAAAACGAGGACGCAGGAAAAAGTTGGGTGATACCACGACATCGAAGCTTGAGGACGCAACTAACGATAGCGATAAGGAATCAGATACCAACGCACCGCAATCTTGCAAGTCCGAAGATATTAAGGAATCGCTAGAAACTAATAAAGAAGACAAAAACTCGATCCTGAAGGACATCAAGATCAAGACAGAACCTGGACTGAAGGACGACGATAAACACTCAAACGATGATTCGGACGAAGTACCGCTAATTAAGAGAAAAAAGCAGGAGGTGAAGAAGGAAGATAGTGATTGCGACGAGGAAGTGATATGCCAGAGGAGACGAATTCGTCGTGGCAGTAGGATTAAGCTTGAATCCTCCAGCGGTAGTGAATCCTCGAGCGAGGATACCGATGCCAGTACTGAGTTTCATGGTTCTTCGGTGGCTGACAGACTTCGGGCCAGGAAACGATCTACGGCTAATGTGTCCGAAGGTATGAAGCTTCGTTCAAGGGATGCTACTCCTCATAAGGTGAAGACAGAGAAGGAGTCCAAATTGTCCACTCCTCCTAAAGGTGGAACCTCGCAAAAAGCAAAACCAAAACCGTTGTTTGGCGATGGCAGTGATTTCAGGCCCGGGTGGGAAGAAGAGGTTTACGTGTATAAAAAATCTCTGAGAATGCCACCTAGGTTAATAACAGTGTCGAAGCCGTCGCGTTTTCACCGTCTGTCCACATCGTTGCCAGATTTGGATCCCGGTTCGCCAGCACTTTCCGTCTCAATGGATAGTTCCGACGTGTGTCTCAGTCGTAATAAGAGGTTAATAATAGATAGCGACATGGAATCCAACTACAGCTTCAGCATCACTGGACTCGGTAGCAAAATTGATGACGAAGAGGCGACTTCGTCAACCACCGTTTCTTGTCCCCCGAAGGCTATGAAACATTTCCGATCGGAGAACAATTCCATTGTCGACGTTCTCGCGCAAAAAGTCGGAAGTGGTGGCAGTCAGAAGGACTTGAAGAAGAAGCAGAACTCGAAGGGTAGTAAGGTTTTTAATAAGAACAGTAACGAGCCAGAACTTTTGCCGACGCCGAGTCTCACACCGCTTGTCTCATCCGAGACATCAAAGAATTCTAAAAACAAGATCTTAATGAAAAATAATAAAAACCCGATTAAAGTAGCTAACTCTGTTCTTCTTGGTTATTTCCGCAAAGAGACGGTCAATAATTTCCGCGACGCGTTCAAAAACAATCATACGCTACCCAACGAGTTCTCTACTATAGTATTGAAAAGCAGAACAAGAACGGAGACAAAGATCTTGAAAAAGGAAGCGACTATTCGTGAGGTGTTTGGTGAGGATAGGCCCGCGTCAGCCCCGCCGATGCAAAATCATGACGATACATCTCAAGACGACGATTCGCAAAACGAGACGCCGGAAGCTGTGTTGGGCAAAGTACGAACGTTGAAGCAGAAAGTAGTGTCCCGTTTGAGAAACGCCGGGATATTACGAAGCCACAAGGCGATTGCGAACTCGAAACGTCGCCTGTTAACCGCCGAGAGGCGGAAGGATTTGCTCAAGTCGCTTGCGAATAAAAAGCTACATCGTATCAAGACTGAGATAGAACAGGAAGAGACGAATGACGTTAGGGAAGAGGAGAATAATGACGAAGATGATAAGAACGATTTGGAGATTCGTAATAAAAAGAAGTTGAAACTCCGACCTGGTCGACGAAAATTCAGCTCTGGATTTGACTACATCCGTAAGAAGAAGAAACCGCTAAAGAGAGACGAAGCATTGCCGAAGGAAAGGAAAAGAGTATGTATATACATAAGATTCCTATATAGTTTATATTATTTATTCTTTTTATTTTTATTTCTAAATTTTCGTAACACGCGCACGTTATGTTCACAATATTACTTTAAAATGCAATATTTTACAGCAAAGCCAAGCTAACAAACCAAGTCCGGAATGCGTAGCCGATATTCAATCTGAAATCAGGACATGGGTTATCAAAAAAGGCGTCGGGGAAACCATATTACACCGCGCTGCCCGTCTTGGTTACACGGTAAGATAACGATCGCGTTGCTATGTCGGACGACAGAGTTAACCAATAATTCGCGCGAATAGCAATCTATAATTTATTCGTATTCCGCTGCAGGATGTGACTGCTTATTGTCTGGAGAAGCTCAATAGTGCGCCAAGTCCTAAAGACAATGCGGGATACACGCCACTCCATGAGGCATGTTCCAAAGGTCATCTGGAGATCGCGAAACTCTTGTTGGCTTACGGCGCAAACGTTAGCGAGAGTGCTAACGGTGGTATCAGGTAATATATTTCCATCAAACTGCATTTTTATAATTATCGTTTTCGAGTTAGATCGGTGAATAATTCGACAAGCGTATAGATGATTTATTGATCGTTGATAGAAAATGATATATATCTTCTCGCATTGTTAGACCGCTTCACGAAGCAGCGGAAAATGGTGTTACGGAACTTGTACGGTTGCTGCTGTCGTATGGTGCAGATCCATTATTGGCTACTTATTCCGGACAAACGCCGTTGATGTTGGCCGTTGACACCGAAGCTAACTCTATTCTAGAACAGCACTTGGATGATATCCAAGGTCGTGTCACTGTGCCATGGTCATTCGCTGGTCCAGCTTCTATTTTCGGTATGTAATGGTTGACATAAGTTTTTACTCGGAAATGCTAAAAAATTTCGTAAATATATTATATATTCCAGATGCATAGTTTTATTAATTTTCTCTGAACTTGTTTTCAGATCCGGAAGAGACGGGTTATAATCCGCTCGATGACGTTCCATCGGATAATCTCGAGTCAGTTGAACTAAATGATGTCGAAATGGAAGTAAGCGACATCAATCTACCGGTCCTCTTCACCCTGAACAACGATCCCGACAAATGGGTGCTGCTTCAAGATCTCATGGCGATTTTGCGAATAAAGAGTCGCGACGCTCTTCTT